TGTGAGAGAAAGAACTAATCTATGCTACATCTTGGCATCGATTCAAATTATTGATTGTGGCGTCATGTCATTCACAGCCTCTCTATTTTAATGAAAGTGAAAAAATAACACATTGAAAACGATTTATTCAATGCAAATACATGTATATACATGTACATAATTACTTTTTCTTTTTCAGTGTGTTTTCTGTCTTGGGAAGTTTCCTCCTGTTGGTGTTGGGAATCTCTTTGTGTTCCTTGTTAGTGGTTTTGAATTCGCGAGTCCTGTGTTCCTTAGTCTTCTCTCCTGTGCTTCTATTTATTTAACGAATTCCGTGTCATCCATGCAGTCAATGGCCAAATGTCCAAATTTTTAACACTTGTAGCACCTTTCCTGTTTGTGCCTGTGATAGTCTGGGGCCCGCTGACCTAACTCGACAGATATGAAATATGGCTCTGTCTCTCTTTTCTTTGTAGCTTCTGTATCTTTCTGGTAAGAGCGTTCTTTTATTTTAATAGCCTGTTGCTGACTTTGACTTTAAATCTTGACAATCTCCCACGTTGCACAGAAAATCACTGGTTTTGTACTTTTTTCAGGTCAGTAAGCATCTTCATAATGCTATCCAGAGTTGTGGTAAAGAAACCGATATCTTCTTTATTCGTGGGTTCTGGAAGGTTATACATTCCCAAATCAAATCTGATGGGATCCTGTGTCTCAGGCATTGTTGGTAAGGCTTAACTCAGTCCTTCATTTCAAGGTGGAACATAGTTCTCCCCAAAATTCATCATTGCATCTGCCATAGTTCGTCTGTCACGTTCGAAGTGCCTACGAAGACTGACCCTAAATTTCCAGCTCTAGTTTATATACCTTTTGGATATGTACATGTACATGTAAGGTCATGTGCATAGATATATTTTGTCTACGTTTGTACGGTACCTAAGCTCTTAACACCCTCTCTCGATACGCAAGAGCATGCTGTACGTATGAAAAATTCTAATACGAGGTAAATTATTGACCAGCAAGTTGATGAAACAAGAATATTAGCCATCTCGTTTAAAGTCCTCATTTCGTAAGTTCTATGGTCGATACAATGACCTTGTCAGCAAATACAATTTATCATTGAGTCAAATGCTGACTGACGTTTTTCATACTTACATATGTATTGTTAGTCCATATTATTTATACACTGAATTGACCACGGATTTTTCCGTTATTTCCTGATCGTTGCAAGGAGCACAGAGCGGGTGTGACCGATCAGGAGGGGATTCTCACTCCTCTATGGCATCTGATCCCACCACTGATGAATCGGAGGTCCATATTTGCTCTGCTCTAATTTTTTTCAAATGTTTTATGGACTTTGAGACGAATGCTATTCATTGTCTCCATATCCTTCTTTTACCTGCGTTTTGCTGAGTCATTTAACTGTATGTACTGTGTACGTCTCTTAGAGATATGTTGTTTTTTCAGCGGAGTTATAAAACAGGGCATAAATATGAAAAAAGAATCTTGTCCATACTTCACACTTGATTTTCAAGTCAAGCCAAATACATTTAATCTCTGATTTTAGAATAGTTTTATTGCTTAATTAATGTGATGAATATAGGAAAGCCAAGAAGCCCCACGCCCTTTCTCCTCGAGGTGGACTTAGTATTTCAGAAGGCGACGACGATCATAGAAATACCTCAGGACTTGTTGTTAAAATTCCTGGCTTTATCAGATCATTTGACCAAGGGGAGCCTAGATATTCTATATTTCCTATGTCAACGGGTTAAATAATTTTTTTAAAAAAAATGTGTGGGGTGACCATGCGCGAATATATTTAAGAATCTTAGTTTTCTTTGCCATGTCCAAGCGGAGAAAGTTTCTCTACTTTGAAAATAAAAAGAAGCTTTGGAGAAATTAGGTATTTAATACGGAAAGACATCTGTGAATATTTCAGACCTTCTAAGAAGCAGAAGGGTTTAACTTTTAATATCAGCCTCAAACAATGCATTAATTACCACCTAAGGACAGAATATTTCCAAATGTGACTATGGTAGCTAATTGATTAAAGTTGCTCGGAGGAGAATTGATAACTGGTATAATTGTAAGTCTTTAGATCGTGATCGGGAAATAATGGAATAATCCGTCATCAATTCAATGTATAAATAATGGACTAACAATTAGTATGAAAAACGTCCGTCAGCATTTGTGTCAATGATAAATTGTATTTGCTGAAAAGGTCATTGTATCGACCATAGAATTTACAAAATGATGACTTTTAACGAGACGGTTGATATTCCTGTTTCATCACCTTGCTTTTAATAATTTACCTCGTTTTAGAAATTGTTCATACGTAGAGCATGCTCTTGCGTATCGAATCAACTTAGATATATAAACTCTGTATGCAGGTGATGAAGGAATATTGCTGCATAAGTAAGGGGAGTTGACGATAGAAAAGTAAAAGTCATCACGTTTCTCATATAGCTAGATTGTTAGACTACCATTAACGTCTTTTTCAAGTAAAACATCCAAGTATGAAACAGATGTGTCAGACTCTGTGGAATCTTTTATCTCAAACTCACCAGGATATATCGTAACGACGTAGGAATGGAACTGATCATTGTTAATTGACAATACGTCGTCGATATATCTAAATGTCGAGTTGAAGGCTGCAGCAAGGGTTTTCCTCTTTTCACAAATAAGATTTTGCACAAATTCTGCTTCATTTGAATATAAAAATAGCTATGTTAAACAGGACCAAACGATAGCATTGTTCTTCCGCCTACTTCCAAGTCAATTTTCAAAAGTTTACATATTTGAATGGTGTTTAGTATTTTCATAGATATTTATATGAATTTCAATAAAATATTACTTGTTTGGAAAAACAAAGAGATGTAACTCTAAAACAATTTTAAAAAAAAAATATTCCCCCGTGAAAAGTTCTTTTAATATATAGGCAATATATATAAGGACACTCTAACACAAATTCACACGAAAGCTTCTTTTTGACGGGAGGTATGTTTCAAGATAAAAAAAAAGCTACAAAATAGCTATTTTTTCACCAATTTCAAGGCGGTGTACAACTAAAACATTATATTTGATCAAAATATGTGTTTAATTTTATCTGCGTTACACAAGAAAAGGCTTTAGGAACATTCAATTATATCCAAGACTATTTCAAAATAGGGTACCATAAAATTCTTGAAAGACCGATTTCAAAGGAAAAATCGTCTAACCCCCCCCCCCCCCCACCCATTTTTTCAAGAGCTATAATTAGGGATAATCTGCTATCTAGTTCTGGTATCAAAACAATTAATTGTATTTATGTGCAACATAAACTAATTTATACCATCTATCAATAAATTACATATTGTTTAGATTTTTCCGGATATTGTAGTGCCACACGCAACCTGTACCAGTAATTATAATTTGATCTTGTCACGTAATCATTGTCTCAAGTCTGCACACTGTCATGGAGATGTTTTCATCCACCAGGGCCATTGTGACCATTTATTGAAGTTTAATATCCACCTTTATTGCATTATTCGCTATATTATATAAGGATCTACCGTTTATACTACATTGTAAGAATTTGATGTGAAGAATTACTTTACGCTACTGTTTATAAATGCCTTGATTTAGGCTGATCGTTGCACGTGGTCCTGGAATCGGTGTCTATCCCACGCTGTGATGGACATGGTGTGGATAAAATGACAATAAAAGTCCTTATTTGGGGGCATTCCTTTATTCGCAGACTTGAGAACTTTGTATCAGATAATTCTGACCATCGGGTGACACCGAATTTAAATCTTAATTCGGAGGAGGTACAGATTTTTTATTCAGGATACGGAGGAGCGTCACTGGCTCAGATTCGCGCGCAAGGTACATATTACGTTAGAGACTTGCGTCCAGATGTGGTTTTGTTACATGCGGTATCAAACGACTTGTGTAGGAGAAACACATCAGTGAATGATATTTACCGTGAGCTTGTGGACTTTATAATTTATCTCCGTTATGAGGAAAATGTGAAGAAAGTGGTGGTGCTACAGAAATTGCATAGAATACCCCCGACAAGGCGTATCCGGTTTCACGTGGACACAGCATGGTTGAACTAAATAGACGAGTGTCCAATTACTTGAAGAATGTAGACTCAGCAACATTCTTTCGCCTGTCTGGTTTCTGGTGTCCTAATAATCAACGGGCAGTATTTTTGGCTGATGAAGTCCATTTGAATTATCAAGGAAATAAGAAATATTATAATAATGTTAGGGCTGTAATTGTTTCAATGATAAAGTCTATCAATAATGGTGGGTATTTTATCTGTACAACATTAGTAGTATAAGGGGCCTGGATAGGACCGCATTCTGATTGGCTGAGAGAATCACGTGATCAAAAAGGGTGGATTCTGATTGGCTGAACCCTAACCCTAGCCCTAACCTAACCCTAACCCTAACCCTAACCCCAACCCTACTAACCCTAATCCCCTAACCCTAACCCTATCCCCTTACCCTAACCCTAACCCTAACCTTAGCCCTAACCCTAACCCTAACCCCTATCCCTAGCCCCTTACCCTAACCCTAACCCTAACCCTACTAACCCTAACCCTAACCCCTAACCCTAACCCTACTAACCCTAACCCTACTAACCCTAGCCCTAACCCTACTAACCCTAACCCTAACCCTACTAACCCTACTAACTCTAACCCTAACCCTAGGGCGTCTAGGTGGGTCAGTACATAACCCCCTAAATACTGGGTGTTTACACTGTGTTTACATTGGTACGTTGGTTCTACGTTTTGTTTTTTATGCTAACTGCACAGGTAAATACTTTGGTGCCGTGTGCAAAACATTTCAAGAATGTCATTATGACGTCACACTTTTCATTCACAGTCTAGACAGTCTAGCCTAAGCCATGCAGTTCAAACTGGAAATTTTTTTTTTACTGAAACACAAATAACAAACCTGGATTTTTTACTGAAAGACAAGAACACACAAGTCAGATTACAACAAGGGTATTTTTATTCACAATGAAAAATACAATTACATTTTCTTTTTCTTCTGGGCATTATCACTGGTCAGGGGTAGTTTCCTCTTGGTTTCCCGAGGTTTTTTTTCTTCAGTTTTTTGTATGTCTTTTACGAATTGGTGATCCTCCTCTGTACACTGATTAGCCCAATGTCCAAATTTTCCGCATTTGTAGCACGAATCCTGTTTTTTTCTGGGGCAATCTGGGGCCCAATGCCCTAACTCTTTGCAGATGTAGCATGGGTCTGTCTGTCTTGTTTTCTTAGTCTCTCCTGATCCCCCTTGTCCCTCTTTTTTCTGGTAAGTGCTTCCTCCTCCTCCTTTCATTTTGTTTTGCATGTAAGTTTTCAGATGATTCAATTGGTTTTCAGCACCACTCATCTTGTTGTTCATATCATTCAGCTTGTTATCAAGACTAGACAGCATGTTAACAATTCCACCCAGAGTTGTAGTTAAAATATTCATATTTTCTTTATTCATGTATTCTTGAAAATTAAAGGGGGCTCCTACATATTCTTCAGGTGTCACAAAACTAGGGTTGTTTGGGGTATTCATCATTGCTTCTGCCATGATATTTTTCACGTCTGTCAAGTTTGAAATGCCAACCAAGACTGATCTTTAAATTTTACCGTTTTGCTTTATATACCTGGTGAATCTGTAATAACCCTGTGCAAAAAATTATACTTTTTACCTACTTTTTTTATACCTGTTACATTATCTGTAAGGACCCTGTGCAAAAATGGATTTTTTTTTACTGAAAAACAAAAGAATACTAACACAGATTTTGATTTTTTCAATTTTTATTCAAGTGAAAAAATACAATTACATTTTCTGTTTCTTCTTCTGTCCCTTCTCACTGGTCAAGGGTCGTTTCCTCTTGGTTTCCCTAGGGTTTTTTTCTATGTCTTTTACCAATACATAGCATGGATCCATCTGTTTCTTACTCTCTCCCGATCTCCCTGGTCCTTCTTCTTTTTTCTGGTCAGTGTTTCCTCCTTCTTCTCTCATTTTTGTTGTCTTTCCTGTTAATGACTTTGTGATTGGGGATAATAGGCCACTAATGTAACAAAATCCACTGCTGTTGTAACATTTCAGTTTATCCAACTTGTTTTCAAGGTCACTCACCTTGCTGTTCAATTTATTTACCTTGTCATCCACATAATTCATCTTGGTGTTCATTTGATTTAGTTTGTTATCTAGAGCAGATAACATGTTCACAATTCCGTCTAAAGTTGTATCTAAAATCCCCATATCTTCTTTATTCATGTCTTCAGGAAAATTATACATGTCCAAATTCAAATCCAAATCCACTGCATCCTTTATTATCTCTGTCATTGGAGCTCCTAGATATCCTTCGGGTGTCACATAATACTTGGAATTTTCTGAAGTATTCATCACTGCTTCTATTTCTTTTTCACCTGTGTTCTTTTTTCAAAATGATATAATGAGCCTAGGGTACTCCCAGCTCCGCTTTATATACCTGCTATGAGCCGTGTGCACCTTTTACCTGGGCTTTATATACCTGTTATATCATCTGTAAAGGACCGTTTGCAAAAAACTTAAGACCCCTGTGCACCTTTGACCTGCGTTTTCTTATATACCTGTTGCATCACCTGTAACGGGGGTCGTGTGCATCAATACGTTTTACTTACGTTTTATACGAGGGGTATAAAAATGAAAATAAAAAAGTAAAAAAAATTAATTTTTTTTTACTGTGGCAGGACATAGATGCAATGAAAAAGAAAAAAAAGTATGTATTCAATACGGAATACCTGGAAATTTCACACAGGTTTAAGAAAAAAAAAATCAGTGACTTTTTTTTAATTCCAAAACCTCAATCAAAAATCTACGAATTACTAGACCCCACCCCTGGATGCAATGAATATCAGATCGAAATACAATTTTAGAGGAGAATTTTTTAAAAAGAAAGAAAAAGAAATAAAAAAAATCATGTAAATATCACTGTTATGTTATTATGTGACGTCATATATACACTCGGGTTCGGCGTTTCTCCACTTCAATTTTGCTTTGTCACTGTGGTGGAGCTTTTTTTGATCACATGATCAAAAGCGATTTTTTTGTGTTAGCCAATCACATTTAATCACGTGATTGGTTTTTCCATGTTTTGCCGCAATTGAAGTATCGTCTGCTATTGTGTATAAATACAGCCCCTCCGTGGTTTCAGTATCATTCCTCCGTGCTTGATTTAGCTGTTGATTGTTATAAGAAGAAGAAGTGGAAAGAAGAAAAGAAAAGAGATCGCCCAGCAGTTTCACGAAAACCTCTTCATGATACCCGGAATCTCGATCGAGACCACTGTTGTTGTAAGAAGAATAGATAATGGGGCAGAGATCTCGAGATATAACATGGTGAGAGTGCAGCTCTCCCCCCCCACCACAGAGAGCAGAGAGGAGGGCCCACCCCTACAGCACGCGGGCAAACAGGAGGAGGAGGAGAACTTCACCACCATCAAGACCCCCGCCACCGCCACACAGACCTGCTGCCCCCCAGGTACAGGCCCGGTGTTGTAGCATAGACTTCCCCCCCGCATAGACTTTCCCCCCGGAAAAACGGGCCCGGGTTAGAGTTTCCCCCCAGAAAAACGGGCCTAGCACAGAATTTCCCTCCCCGGAAGAAACAACCCGGGCCTGATTTTCCCCCCTAGGAAAAACCGCCCTCAGTATAGAATTTCCCCCCTGAATGCCAGTACGCTTTTTCCCCCTCCTTGCATTTTTTTACTTTAAAAACCGTGTTTGGTTCGGCTATTAGATTTCTGTATTGTCCGTATTCTTAATAACTTATCAAATGTGCAGCATCAAATCACATATTTTCATTACTAGCATTGTTAATTTATAGTATAAAAAATAAATGAGTGTCATAAAAAGGAATGTTTGAACACTATATGAATTCATATTAGATTCTATTTCCATGACTAAAGCAAACATTTTGGATTGTGCATGCACTTAAAGGGGCATAGACACAGATTCAACTGAATTTTCAAAACTAATTTAAATGCTCACAATTTCAAATTAAGGCATCGTCTAATGATTAGCAAAAATTTGAACATCCTTTTTTGATTAACAAATGAGATATAAAACTAAAGTAAACAAGGTTCGCGCCCCGTTATTGTTTACATATTGGAAATGTCATGTTAATAACAAAATGAAATTCATTAAATTACTAGAAACTGTCTGAAAGTATTTATAATTGACCTCTTTATTGAAATTATCTACTTTAAACAAATATATTTTAGTATTTTAATCCATGTAATCAAAACATGACACAGGCCCTGTTTACATAACATATTTTTGGAGCTCTAAATCTTGTATTTTTACAACTGATTTTTAAAATTTAATGATCACTAAAATTACCTTATTCAAATAATCATAAAAATTATGAAAAACGCAATCCGGAATTATAAGGGGGGAAAGTCTATACTGGGGCGGTTTTTCCCCCCAAGGGGGAAAGTCTATACTGATTTTGTTCAAAGGGGGAAATTCTATACTGGGGCGCTTTTTCCG